GCCGATCGTCACGTACGCGTAGCGAAGTCGCGGAATGCTTCGGGGAAGAAACTCAGTACACGGCGTGTAACGGAGATAATCGCTACTTGGTCTCGACGACGACGATGACGACGACGACGCCGACGAAGGACTCTGCTCTCCTCTTCTCTCTTCCCTCGCTCTTTTTCTTCTCCTTTCGAGTACGTCGCCCGGATGATCCAACGAAAGCCAATGCTTTGTCGCTTCTTATCTCGGGAGAAGGAGAAAGAGAGAGATTATCTTATATTAATAGAGATTACATTACGTCGTTATTAACGCACATCGGCCCCATTAGTTTTTGACGAGTCACACCGCCGCGTCACGATTTTCCAAAAAACTCGACACACTCAATTCGAACATCGAGGTGACTGGGGCAAGTTGCGTAAGAAAAGTTGAGAGAGAGAGAGAGAGAGAGAGAGGGAGAGGAAACGGTCAACGGGCGTAGGTGACATCGCTCGTCGCAGAAGAAATCGCCTTTATGGCGAAGCGCGTTAGACTTTTAATTAAAAGCCTCGATGTCCTCCGCTGCCGCCGGTATTATTGCCACGTTCCTGCGGGACGTTTGCGTGCCATCCACCAATTTGACTTCTCATTTACGGAGTGTACCGTGGCGCTCGCAATCGCGAATAATGTCCGCATCGCAATTACTCGACCGTCATTCAGCGGTCTCGCTCGCATCCTGCGGTACACCTCGCCCTCTAATTATCTATTGACAAATAATCGCTTTCCTATCGATTACGTTGGCAGAAAACGCGCTCCGCAGCCGTGACGTGTGTGCTCATCATTCTATGAAAAATTGATCATTTCAAGCGAGAGAGAGAGAGAGAGAGAGAGAGAGGGACGATCAATCACCGACTCGCATCGCGTCGCGTCATTTCCGCGGAAGTCGACCCGAGTCGTCGACGCGTGCGTCACGCCGACGAGGACGCGTCGCGATGCCACCCGACCGCGCTACGCCGCGCCGGCCGGCCGGCCGGCCGGCTGAATGAGCGTCACTGGGGCGGATTTGTACAAAGTGTAAGCAGAGCGGTACAGATGCGTCGCCGCACTCGGCCGCCGCTCGCGCCGGCTCGCCGCCGAATCCCGGCGGCGCGCTGTGAAGTCGCGATGACGCAACGACAAAGTACGGCGGAGGTTGGGAGTATACGGGCGACGTGTCGCGCGAATGCGCCGCCGCGGCCAGCTGGGCGGGAGGCATTTAAGTCGCTCTTGCGACTTCGCCGTTTGCCGGCCGAACGCCGTGCGGTCCGCCGTTGTTTCTCTCGCCCCCCCCCCCTCTCTTTCTCTCCTGCTTTTTCCTTCTCAATTAGGACGCGCGATTTTTGCCCTAGGCGTCCTTTCGCGTCTCGATGTCTCAAACACACTTTGCTCTTCCCCAAATAATAACCGCGTTATTACGTTATTATTAATTAACCCCACTGCTTGGGCGGGGGGGGGGGGTGAAGCAATTTCAGTCATCAAACGACCGGATGGTTGGTCGTTACTTTGTGAAATTTCGGACAGCCAAACTGTGGTCGAGCTGTCTAAGATAAGTAAAAGAAAGACCTCGCGAGAGCGGGACGTCATCGTTGACGTCGGTGGACGATCGGTGGAAGCTGGCCGGAGGGCAACATTAGGGACTTGGATCGATGTGTAAGACGACGAGTGGAGCGATTAAAATAGTGTGTGTCTCGAGTACACGGAGCGCGTTCCGCGCGGCGCGGCGCGGCGCGTATTATCGGTACAGCGGTATGTACACCGGTCGTTACGCAGTTACGGTATACCCACGGTACTTAGAGGGGCAGGCTTGAGCGGAGGGAGGGCGGCTGTAAGGTTCGTTCTAGCAGCAGCAGCAGCAGTAGTAGTAGTCGCGGTCGGGTGGCATCGGGCAGACGGCCGCGCGGCTGCAGATCATCGCAGTATGTATACCGGGTGCACGAAGCGCGTGGTCGCGATCGCGACCAAGTGGCTGGAGAGCGGTCGGGCCGAAAGGACGAGCGCGGTCGAGCCCGCCCGAACGTAGCCGACGCGCGCGTGCCTTCCGCGCGCGGAGGTAGCGGGCCAGAGAGAGAGGAGGTAGTCCGCGGCGACGCACGTATAGTCAGTGGGTGACGACTCCTCGGGGCGTCAGGTTCTCCATGCGGGGGATGTCGTCGCGTCGCTTCTCCTGGCGAAGCACGTGCGCGGCGTGACAGCTCCGGCCCACGGCGCCGTGTATTTTCGTCGGGCCTCGAGACGCGTCGCGCCCGCGGCCATGTAATCCCGTCTCGGTGTGTGCTGGAGCCCGACCGAGCGACAGGCTCGCACGTGAGAGAACTCGAGTCGCCGCGACATCGCCGACGCCTGTCGTGACGGACGCGCGTGATCGCGCGCGCGCGCGCGCGCAGCGCCGAGGGCGCGAGAGCGAGAATGAGAACGTGCGGCGCGCGGGTGTCGTCGTCGCGTGGCTAGTGTACGGATTTCCGTGGATTGTTACACTTACCTTGCGAGAGAACGAGAGTAGTACTCGTAGGTCATGCTAAAATGATGTACCGAGCACAGAAGTGCAACGGAGCACAGAGAGCGAGATCGTCGCCGGGATCCTCCGGCTGCTCTCGCTGAAGCATCCGTCGTTTCCGTCGGGAAAATTGCGGGGGTGTCGGCGCAAGGCGAGAGGGAGAGAGAAAATCGGCGAGGACCGAGCGATTCGCCGCGCGCGAACGCCAAAGTGTGTGAAGTATGCGATTTTAGAACTAACTCGCGCTCGCTCAGGCCGGGACCCGCGGTCGTTGTGTGTGTGTGTGTGTGTGTGTGTGTATGTGTGATATGCCGCTGCGAATTCGTCGCGCTGACTAGGCTGCGTGCCCAGCGACGTTTATCGCTGCCGAGACTTTCGTTAGCAACTCTTATCGGGCTACGAGAATAACCTGACCGTGCGGTGTAAATATTATGAATGCAGACGCGTCTGAGAAATCGCGCGGCGGTTTCGTATTATCATCGTCCGTCGTGGAACGCCGCGATGCAACGCTGCTGCTGTAAGTAATCGCGTGACGCTCGCTCGAGTTGCTGCCGAGCGTTTCTCCTCCTAAATAACGAGAGTGAAACTGCCCCCGAGAAGAAGAAACGAGGGGCGCGGCGCGCGAGGACGCGTCGCATCTGTGTGAAAATCAAGAGAACACCGCCAGACTACGACAACGACGACGACGACGACGACGTCGGCGGCGGCTTCTTCGTACGTGCGCGCCTATCGCAGCGGAGGGAGCGCGGAAAAGTCGAAAAACGCGGTCGCTCGAGCAACGGAACGAAGACGGAGGGCGACGAAGGAAGGGAGAAAGAGGGACGGACGACACACGGAGAGACAGAGTAACGGCGAGCCGCGGGAAGAGAGCGGAAACGCGAACAGGGGGAGAGGAGATAGAGATTTCTGGGCACGCGCACTCCACCTGCTAGCGTGTAGTGGCACGCGCCATACTCACCGCCTCCTCTCTGCCACCCCCGTCGTCACTCACGTTGCTGCCTCACCCCTCTCTCTCCCTCTCTCTCCTCTCCTCCTCTCCTCTCTTCGCCCTCCTGTACGCCTCCTCCTCCTCCTCCTCCTCTCTCTCGCTCTCTCTCTCTCTCTCTCTCTTTCTCTTTGTCTCTCTCTCTCTCTCTCTCTCTTTCACTCGCGTGTCCTCCTGGCCCTACCGCGGCGGCGACCGTCGCCGCCGTCGCTCTCCCCCTCCCGCGGGAATCCCCCTCCCGTGATCCTCTCACGCGTGCCGCGGCGACGAAGAGACGACCGGGACGCGCGGGAGTCAATCGCTCGCGGTCTTCGACAGGGCGAGCACCCAAGGTCCTTGCACTCCTCTCTTCCCTCTTCGCGCGGTCTCCGAACGCGCTCGCCGAGTCGCCTCTCCTCGGTCTAGTCCGCTTGACGACTTGGACTTGGCCGATTTGCTTGCCCGAGCCTTTTCTTCCGTAGCGATCGCGCGCGACGTGCGCGGTCTCGCACGTGTTGTACCGCCACCGAGGTAGGAAAATTGGCAGAGAGCTAGAGGGGAGAGAGAAAGAAAGAGAGAGAAAGAGAGAAGCGAGAGAGTAGAAACAACGGAGAGGAGACGAGATCAAATCGTCGGTGCTGTCAGGAACGCGACGACCTTCATCTTCGCCGCTCGCGGCTCTGAATCGCGGACTCTGAGTGCGCGAGTGTCTCTCTCGGCGACGAATGAAAACGGCGAAGACAGTGTTCGTTGTCGACGCTTGATCTGATCCCTATGCGGAGCTGCCGGTTGGTTTACCTGCTGCGTTTACAGACCTGTCTGTTCGTTAACATCCGAGGGACGCGGCGCCGGCTACCTGCTCTCGCTCGCCCGCTCGCTCGTAGTAGACGATAGAGACGCCGCACGACGACGAGTTGTCAACCGATGTTTGCGTATGAAAGAATCCGGTCGCCCTCCGCCGTCTTCTCATCCTCCGCTTCCTTGTGCCGTGCGTCCACCACCGCGAGGGGACTGGCGCGCGCGGTCCCTCTACTGTAAACAGCGCGAGCAGCGGAGCAACGGGGAGGACGACGACGACGAGGACGACGATAACGATAACGATAACGACTACGACTACGAATACGATCACGATTACGAAGGGAGCAGCAGCAGCGGCCGCGGCGGCTGACGTGCGCCGGCCACGTGGAAGGCAGCAAGCCTTCGCAGCGAGAGAGCGCACCGAGAGACCGAGCGAGAAAGAGAGGGAGAGAGACAGAGACAGAGAGAGAGAGAGAGAGGGAGAAGGAAGGCAACGGCGCGCGCTTCTTCAGCGCGTCGTTCCTTCCATTAGCAGACGAAAATAATCTCGGAGCACGAGTGAGAGAGGTGTGTTTCCTCGTGTGTGCTGCGAGAGCGCACAGGTTGAGCAGGAACGAAACGTCGACGTTGTTTCGGTCGCAGAGAAAGAGACAGAAGGAGAGAGAGAGAGAGAGAGAGAGAGAGAGAGAGAGAGAGAGAGAGAGAAAGACAGAAGAAGAAAAGATCCGGGAAAAGGAGAGACAGAGAAAGACGAGAAAGAGAGAGAGAGAGAGAGAGAGAGAGAGCAGAGCGGAGGAAAGGACCGTACGAGAGCAGGTCACGTTTCGCGCAGCAGTGTTACTGGATGTGCGCCTCTCGGTGACCGGAACCGCAACGGGACTCATTCCGTGGCAAGGCGCGAGGAGCCGGCGGCGGGGAAGTCGCTCGGTCTCGCTGGCGTCTCGGCCTTCGCCAGCTTCTCCCGCCGCCGAGGAGGAGCGGGCGACGATCAGCTGTTCCACAGGCGCGATCCGGTGCGTCCGGTCTCGACGTCGTCGCGGCGGAGGTTCGTCCGCGCGCGTATTCCGCGTCGGCGGCGGCAGCGGCGGCCGGAAAACCACCTGTTGACGATTTACGCGGCTAAAAATCGAAGCGCGCTCGGCGGAAGCTCCCTTGCGAGCGTCCGCGCCTCGACGGAGGACGATTACGCGTGAGCGTCGCGCCGATAAGCGAGTGTCTCTCTCTCTGTCTCTCTGTCTCTCTCTCTCTCTCTCTTTTGGCCGCTGCGTTGCGTACGCCGCTCGATCGACGGGGCGGAAATTGTGCTTCCAGCGGGGGAACTCGCGCGAGATCTCATCTCCGGTGGCCGCGGAGGACGCCTTTCGGCGTTTTCGGCCCGTTTTCGAGGACTTCGGCTTCCTCGGCACCGACTGTTCTTGAGGACCAAGCGGCTCGCCGCGCTGTAGGACGCAAGCGGAGAAGCAAATCGGAACCAACGAATCCGAGCTGTCACGCCGGGCGGAAGTTCTGTGCGCACAGAAACCGTGTCGATGTGTGAGTGCGTCGACGGTGATAGCTAGTCAAATCGTTAGAATGGGCATTACGTTTCGCGGACTAGATCCTTCGGGAAATCGCGCGCGATCCGAGAACGTGGACGCGGCGCGCAAGGGTTGAGTGACACTTGAACGGCGGTTGAGAGCGCGGGCGAATTAAGAGAGGACTCCTCGGCGCGGCTTATCGCGCTTTTTCCTCCCGCGGTCGTTCCAGCGGTAGTCGGACGTCATCGAGCTTCCGACTCATCGTCGGCACGAGAGAGTACGTTAAGCGCGCGCGCGCGCGCGCTGGTGTGAACGCGCCATTTCTTAACGTTTGCAAACTGCGACGTAGTGGTTGTATTACACGTGTCGGTGCAGCGTTTTACGGAAACGTCGCAACGAGCGAAGGAGCAGAATATTCTTCATCCTCGTCGGGCCTGTGAGAGAGAGAGAGAGAGAGAGAGAGAGAGAGAGAGAGAGAGAGAGAGACGGGAATGAAGTGTTTCGTTGGTGTCTAACGGACGAAAGGAAAAGTGAACAGTTATTTCGGAAAGAAATTTGTCACGTCGACGACAGCCAAGGACAGCATTCGAGAAAGTTTGCAGGCTTCCTCAGCGATATGCTAGGCTCACAGCCAGGGTCTTCGCGTCGCTTGTCTTCGCAGTAGGAAATTCATCTTTGGCCAAATGGTTGCCACATTTAACTACCTGGAATGATGGTATGTTTAGATGTTTTCAAGCTGTAGCTATTTGTACGAAAGTATACAAAAAAAATTCTCACTCTTCCTCACTCTTAATTGGTTCGTAAGGCCATTGGACCGCCGCCGGTGTTGATCGGATCAGATTGAAATTTGCGTCTCTCTCGGGGAAAGCGCGCGGCGATGGGACGTAAGATGAACCTGATTTAGAGCGATCGACTTGATCTTTCTTGCGTTACTACTGCTGAAGAGAGCGGAAGTGATTCACCCTTTCGATTCCATTCACCCGCCATTGCTGTAAATGTAGGCTTTATTTGCGTTTCGTAGAATCATTCCGAGGGCTCCGATGAACACGTTGCTCTCTCTTTTCCATGTACGATGATTGGAATTTTCTCGCCATTAAGCTTAGCGCTCGGTAGTTCAGGGTCATTCACTCCGCTCGAAGTCAACAGTCAGGTAGATCTTTCCTGCACATCGTTATGTTCCAACCGACCCTAAAGGTACGTGTTATTTTTGTTTCGTCGAGCGCGACTCTTCTAAAAGGAGCAAACAACACAGAAGAAAACTCACGTCTCTTCGTTGGCGTTGGAGTCAGCGATAACCGTTTAAAGAAATCGAACGAGGGCCGGATGCTTGAGCGTACGCTATCATAAATTTGATAATATCGTATGAAGGCTGCCGCGGCGAACAACAATGCCGAGAAGGCATCGCGACCGAGCACCGATTTTCCTCGTACAGCGCGACGAGCTAATTCTGTCGCCTGGCCGAAGTCTCGCACGTTCGTTTGTTCGTTCGTTCGTTCGTTCGTTCGTTCGTTCGTTCGTTCGTTCGTTCGTTCGCCCGTTCGTTCATCCGCTCGTTCACTCGCACACGCCTCCCTCTCCCTCTCCCTCTCTCACAATTTTTCCCTCCCGCTCTCTCACGGAGGGAAGCGACTGGGATTGCATGCGCACACGTAGGACAATAGATTGACCGTCGTCTAACGGCATCTCAGCGGTCGAGCGACCGATAATAGAAGCATCCATTGCGCTCCATGTCTCGCGTGCGGACATTCTACGCTTTCTCTCTCTCTCTCTCTCTCTCTCTCTCTCTCTCTCTCTCTCTCTCTCTCTCTCTCTTTTTCACGTTCTCTTCTTTGTCCTTGATACACTGGGTCCGTTGCACTAATGACCGGCTTGCAAGTCCGGCGTTAGTCTGTTAGAAAATATATTTTTCTGCGTGCCTTAACTGGTATTTTAGAGAAGAGAAATCTACCCAGTTTTGGGTTCCTTTATCGTATTGTTTATTGCTTGTCCCCTGCTGACTTAGCGTCTCGACACAACCAATTGCAGGCACAAACTGCTACGTAGAAATTAAGAAATAAGAAAATGTAAGAACGTGAAAACCTTCCACGGAGGTTCGTAGAAGAGTGAGTAAATAAATTCCGTGGATAAATTTAGTAAATGTCATTGCTTGAGTATGCTGGAAATAATGTTGATACTTATCGTTATCAACGAGTGTGGACGTCGAGTCCGGCATGAGCTTCGAGTACGCCCGGGGGGCATGAAAATCCGCGACGCAAAAATCCGCAAGCGGATTCCGTTATCTTCCGCATTTCACCGATGAGTCAAAATTAGTCTAGCGATATTAACGTAACTGTGCTTCCAACGTGGTTTGCCGGGTTCTAGTTCATAGCTATTATCCGTGTAAAGCCAGTTTTCTTGGTGGTCGGTCTGTACGCGCGGTACTTATCGGGAGAATTCCAATTTGTACGATCCTTTAATTACCGTTTCTAATTCAGTCGAATTAAGCGCGCGCATTAAGTCGGCGCATTAATCTCCAGCTGAAGTCGCGTGCGCAGTAAACATCGCGTTTATTCGCGTCACTTAGAGCTCAATTAACATTAACCCGAGGAACACACCTTACGATCGCGAATGCCGCCAGAGGAACACCGCTGAATCGAACATTCGATTGTTTAAGCGTGTACTCGTACTTGTTTGCACAAAGCCCTCTCGCACACCCACGGAAGCTCCAAACATTCTCTCGCGACCGACGAAAATATGTATCCATCGGAACAATATCTGGCTTTTATTGTAATCGGCTTTCAAATGAAAATTGCTAAGGCAGACGTCACAGAGAGTGAAGAAAGAGAGAGAGAGAGAGAGAGAGAGAGAGAGAGAGAGAGAGAGAGAGGGAAGAGTCGTAGGAGCAAATTGCGGGGGTTGTTTTCAGCGCGCGCGATGACGCGGGTGGTGGCGTGGCATTCCGATTTCCGGCGTGTCATAACGGGGGATTAAACCCCACACGAACAAATCAACGAACGAACGAACAAACGAGGGATAGTTCCATTCGTTCGTTCGTTCGTTCGTTCGTTCGTTCGTTCGTTCGTTCGTTCGATCGTTCGTTCGTTCGTTCGTTTGTTCGTTAGACCGACCGACAGCCTCATGGCTGTGCGTCGGAATTATTTATACCACTTGATTACGCGCTGCGTTGTGCGTCGAAGCAACCAACGGAAACGAACAAGCCGGCGATGGAACGGAGCGCGTTATGCGAACGGAGGCCTTCGGTGCTGCGTCTCCTCGTCGGTGCGTGCACGAATCTCTCGCTCTATCAGCGATCGATGCGACGTTGCCGTGGACGGTGTAGGGCCGTTATCGGGAAAGTCAGGAGCGCGCGATAACGAGGACGAGAACGAATCGCTGTTGATGCGTAGTGACATTGAGGAAAGTCAGCGTATCTCTCTTTCCTCTTTCTTGCCCCTTCTCTCTGTGTCCTTCTTTCTTTCTTTCTCTCTGTCTCTGTCTCGCTCGATCCACCCGACGCGTCTGAGTATTATTCCTCCGTGGAATTCCGCTCCGGCCTTGAGATATTCTTTTAATACCGCAGGAGACTCGCGCATATCGATGCTACTACGTGCGTATCTTCGTATCGGACGCACGAAACTGATTCATGCGTGCGTACGTATCGACACGTGCAAAGTTCAAGAGGGAATTACTGCCGTCCGCGACGTGAGCTGCACGTCTCGGCGACTCGCGGTTCAATTTGGCGATATCTCGCGTTATAATCTCGCACAATGGCGATCGCGGCCGGATGACGCGTCGAATTCAAGTTTAAAATATAATGTTTCAATCAAATGATTCTAAACAAAAAACCCAAAGTTTTGCCAATTCCTTTTTTTTTCCGTCTTTATTTTAGTAAGATTTTGTAAAGTTTTTTAAGACCTGTTTTTTTTTCTTTATTCCTTCACATACAATATGATGTAGAAACGGTTGAGAACGACATTATTGGCTGAAAGGAGAAAGGGTTTCGTATAGCATTCCTGCCCCAATAACGAACTCATTGTTGAGTTAAGAATGGAACTTTCGAGTCATCAGTTATCGATAATCATTTATAAAGAAAAGTCTGACATTGTAACTAACATTGTGTAAAATTCTAAAACATTCTAAAATATATCCTTCTCAAATATATCCATGAAAGTGGCAATCGTTATTTGTAAATAGGTATCATTATTCATAGGTAGATACAACTTCGGTCTCTCATTAGCCGCGTAGTTCAGTAGAACAAAGTGATCAGAGAGCGCTAAGTGATATTGTCTGTGACTGGAGCATTCTTTTAGATTCTTCGTAGACCCAGAAGTATTTATCAGTCAGGAGCGAGATTCAGTGGAAATTCTAGTAATGTTGTCCAACTGTTGAGTCTCCTGAATGGAGCCATTGGCTAACCAATAGACGATCGACACGTTCCAGACGAAAGGTCATTCTTTGTTTGTTAGCCCTTTCCCTACCTAACACTAGTTCGTGCAAAACAAAAAGTTCATACCTGCCTCAGTTGGGTTCAGTTAAGTCAGTGAGCGGCTGTTCAGGTCATTTAGTAGTAAGTTCTGGTCAACGAAGGGTATCAGTCGCAGTAGTAGATGAGACTCGTGCGAGAATAGACCACATATGTGTAACAAGCGGCGATCCCATCAGTTCACTGTGATCCGAATTTACTTTGGAAAGGAGAGCGAGTGTTCGCGAGCTGCATACACCATCGATATTCTTGCTTTGTAAGTACATAGTTGTAAGTGTGCGTCCCTGCTAATTACGGTTTTCCACTTTGCGCTAATGACGATCCTTCTATCTGGACGGCTCCAAGTAGGTGCAGAATCCGTGCGTGTGTCTTGCGTCTGGGCGCGATTCCACCGATGTGAACTCGGAAACTGGCTTAAAGAAAATTAAAAATTAATAATATAGAATTTCTGATATGACGCCAAAACGGTATTTCCGCTATTTCTTAAGACGGCCTCAAGACGGCCAACGGGAATTCGGTAGAGAATTTTTCACACGACTAAAACGCTAAAACGGTATTTGAACGTATAATTGAAAAATGCTGTATCTTCGAACCGGTTCGCAGGTGCAAACGAAATTAAAAGAAATACAAATGACTCGTTTTGAGATGTCTCAAGAAATAGCGCTGCCGACGTTCCACGTTTTCGAAAAAGCGGCCTCGCGAACTTCTCGATTTGGATCACGAAAATACACTCGGCGACCTTGATTGTGTTATTAGGCTACGTTTTAAACGAGAGAGCCCGGCGTCTCTCTCGCTCCGCGGTTCTGTCGATTCAGTCTCCCGCGTGTGTCCGTAAAAGATATATTTAGCCTTCGCGTCGGAGACGAGGCGACGGTGCAGCGGCGGGGCGACGACGAGGAAAGAAAGAAACATGCACGAGCAGTGCCGCGAAGTGTGCGCGCGGCCAGAAGAGAGCCCGTCCGAAATAATCGTGATTCGTGACTCGTGCGCCGCCGCGCGTTAATACCGTGCCTCAGGACGCGGCGGATGCGCGATGACGCGTATCGAGACGCGCGGCCGAATACGTGACCGCACCGATACGCACTCATTCGTCGCCTCATTCAGCGGCTCTCTCCTCTCCCCCCCTCTCTCTCTCTCTCTCTCTCTCTCTCTCCCTCTCTCTCCCTCTCCCTCCCTCTCTCTCTCTCTCTCTCTCTCCGCCTTTGGGAGCTCTCTTTTCCTCGTAGCTCGCGACATTAGTCCGCGTGTAAGCG